CCAGAATGTTTCAAAAAGTATCATACTGAAATAAACTATTAATACATATACATATTAATAAATAGTAGTAGTACGTTATATTTTTCATTTTTCTCTTTTACCAGACCACCGTATCATCTGGTCAGCTTCTCAGTGTTTTCTGAATCATTTCTACACTGCATTGCCTAGGTACATTTTGTCCACAAAATATACATAATGAGTGCCGCGCGAATGGGTTGAACAGACCTATTCCAGGGTGCTGTCTTCGCGGGGACAACGAAACACGAAATTCTGGATAGTCGTTCAACTGAAATCTCAGCTTCAACATTGTCGTCCCGATGTTCGACGCGGTGATCAAGCAATGTTGATACGCAGATGCGCTCAATCGTCGTAGATTAATGGAACTCGGTTGCAGCTTCAGTTGCGGGAACGCTACATCCCCTGTCAGTTTCAACTGGACGTCCAAACGTTTCTGCACCGTCACGCGAATCGCCAGAGCGAAGTGAAAGCACAGGCTGAACGTCAAATGGACCTGCAATAAATTGGAATTGTAGGAAAGAAATTTGAGTGAAGAAAAAAAAAAATAAAAAAATGTATAATACAATAACTATAAGATAGAAATAAAAATATATAACAGAATGCACAATAATTGCATATAAAATATGCAACGATTATTTATACAAAATGTACCTGAAGGACAGCAATTCCGCGAGGCGCCAACACGCCGTGAAGAGGCTGAACGTTGCATCCACGAATCAACGACGAGGCGTCGATCTCAAATTCCACTTCAATGTGTTCGAAATTTCTCAAGAAAGCGACTGCCCTCGTTGGCAGATTCAATGGGATTTCACCCACGTTTATGAGATCCTTGATGAAACTGACCTTCGGTGTTCGCGGTGGCAAGCTTACACGCAAGTTGCTGTAACTACTATTCTCGCACTTCATCATCAGTTCCGTAGAGCTGGATCTTGTAAAGTCCGGCTTGTAGTGTATGTAGGTGAACAACGAAGCATTCCCACGAATCACGCCTGACACCGGCTCGACGAAGAAGCAACACGTACTGGGTACTTCCCATCTGATCGAAAGTATCGATAAGATTATTTTCTCTTATTTTATTTGCCAGTCACCTACCGGAAGTTCGTTTTCGCGTCCAATTTGTTCCTGATTTGAACAGCACAGTCCATCGGTTGATAGATCTCCTCGTTGAAGTAATCTCGGCCGAGTGCTATCTCGCGTATATCCAACGACAACTGTTTCTCAACGATGCTGGCGGTGACACCAAGCTCGAACGAATGATTGTCGTTGATAATGTAATCGATGTAGCCGTTGAATTTGCCAATATGATGCGCTCGAAATTCAACTAGCCGCGTGGCGCGTGAACCCGCTGATAAAATCATTAGATTCCCCTGTGGGAAGTGTATCCGTCTGGCGGATAAGCTTGTCAGACGTACCATGATCGGGAAGTCGTTCAGATTTTCCACGGCCAGCTGTTTGTAGTTGCGACTCCTTGGAACAACCTGCGATTATTGTATTTCATTTAATCAGCCGTAATACAAATAGAATTCACTGGGTGAAAATTCGAATTTGTGATCATTTTATAATATTATAATTATAGTATAATATAGTATAATATTATAAAATAATATTATATTATAATTATAGTATATAGTTTATTAAGATTTTTTTTAGGACATTGAGGGAGATGATTTAGTAAAAGAAATGTGATAGAATACTTACCATTCCAAATACAAACAGAGTGGGATACATCCGTATGTTATATATTTGCAAAGGAGAGAGGGGTATTAACACTTTAATGCTGGTTGTTAATGCTGATATCGTTTTGTCTAAAGTCCTGGCGCATTTCACCGTTTCTGATGCACTTTTGTATTTCCATTTAGGAATGTGAGCGACTTTTTGCAGAACATCCTCTTCGTCATCGTCTTCACACTTTATTGCAGCGCTCGTTTTCCTTGATTTAGCCTTCCCCGCTTTTGTCTAATAATAAGAGTGAAATACAGTTTACAGCACAAAAACAGACTACAGCCTTCTCGAAATTATAATGAATTAAATAACGATGCAGCTTACTGGAGGAAGTTGTAGGGACAGTGTTTTCTGATCACTCGTCGGAAGCGCCCTTAAATCTGTAAAAAAAACAATCATTCTTAATTGCCTCTTTCTTTTTAAATATTTAACTATGTTATAAAATATATGTTTATATAATTGTTAGTACAATCTGACAGTATTATTTAAAATATTTAATCATTGAAAGATTCTTCGAGTATTGTTCAAAAATATTTGGAAATTTCTATTACAGCTTATTATTTAAAAGCTAGTAAAAATTTCAAAAATACGAATGGAATAGCGAGGAGAAATGATCGTTCATAAATCTTGTATCTTATCTGGATAATATTTTTACCTTTTATCACATTATTACTATGTTACTATGTTATTTTATGATTGATTTACTCTTATTTTGTTGACTAATTAATTTGCTCGGGTTTGCCCGCTGCGCGAAGAACAGCAAAGTGTTAATATAATAATAATTATAATAATAATTATATATATTAATAATTACCATATTATATAATTACCATATTATATAATAATTACCAAAAGCACTTCGTCTTCGTGACAAACACGTTTCCTTTATGCTTGTCAATAATTTCACATTCACCGTGCATTGCACGGCGTACCTTCCTACCTTTATCATCGTTCGACGTCTAGTTATCGTCGACTCGCACGAACTCGCCGCCGCATCGAAGTAAACCTCGAACGACGAATCAACTGCGAAAGAGACAATTCCCCTCTAAAGATCATTCATCTGTTTATATCTTCATAAATTTATCCATCTTGAAAAA